TTTCCTCAGAAACTTGACTTCCATATGGAACATAGGGTAAATTGCGCTTTCTCAGTGAATTTAGCGCTTCAAATTTTGCTTTTGTACGTTAAAATCTTCTCTTAGGTCCCAGTCATCAACCAAAGATATTTGTATATCCTATCTTAACTGTGAATTGAATTAAAAATAGATTTTAGAAAGTAATTTTTAAGTTTGTAACTTGGCTTCTTAATTAAATTTACGTATTGCTCCGATGTCCGCAAACTTGTTGAGTTTTCACCCACTGATCCATTGGACACTAGCAGCTTTTGCAACAAACTAATGTTTGAGATTGCAGACCTCTGGGTAGCACTTAGATCCTGTTGGAACAGCGAGGAATGCATCTCATTTTGGTGCACTTCCTCCTGTTGCTGTTTTGAGGCTTGAATTCGCTGCCGTACGACATCCTTCACCAATGCGGCGTAGTCCTGCGATTTTACCTCGTGGAAACACGGTGAGTTATACTGCTGTTGCCGAGAAAGAGGACCTTGAATATGAAAGTTAGAAGTGGTTTGTGGTTGCGACAGCGAAGCTGCCTGTATTTGAGGTGCATATAAGACCTCAATCGCGTTTCCGTTGGCCAATCCTGTGTTGGGTATGATCACGGGGGTGTTTGTGAACAGGATAGCACCGGCAGGAATAAAATTAGCACCGTCGGGGTAAGAAGGACATTGATCTCGTTGCAGTGTGGATGAGTTTAGGGGAACTTGAAGTGCAGAAGCTCCGGAATGATGTGATACCGGTGATATTTGATGTCCATAGTCGATGGAGCTCGTAGATTGTTGGGGAAGAATAACGGTCGGCGACAACTAAAAACAAATTATAGAGTAATACATGTGTTGTTAAGATCCACTGCAGCAGTTTATGTTCTCATTCCTAACATTGCTTAAAATTGACATATCTGTATCAAACAATAGCCGACATATTTGCAAAGAAGGACGGGCATTTTAGAAGAGTAGTTATACTAGTTATACATTTCCTTGAGTTCGAATCAGAATAACAAAGTGATAAGCTATAGTTTTCCATGACGTTTTGTTTCATTTGGTAAGGCAGCGGATTTAAACTCCATTTTCCATTTTCCATTTTTCATCGCATATTCAATCATAGGAGACCTAAAAGGAATATTTAGAGGTTATAAAAGGCTCAATTTAATGATAGAATATTGCTCACCAAATTATTTGTTGAAATTTGGGCAGCTTGATTGTTAACAGGAATGTAGGGAACCCCATTAGTCATCGTGCATGAAATGGGTGAATTCGAGAAACCCAGTGCACCATTTTCATCTAATGATAAGAGTGTTATGTGGAATCCACAAAATCACATACATTGTCGTTGGAAGACGCTCTACATTGCGCGTTTCGTTTAAAACTCACACACATACCTGTTTGCGCACGGCGTGGCCGATATTCAACTTCCGGTCATTGAACACAAGAGAATCACCCTAACTGGCTAGGTAATAACTTAAGAAACTACCTCATTTTTAATAATTCTCTCAGCCGTGTCTTGATGTTCAAATGTAACAAACCCATAATTTCCTTTCGAGAGTCCCGAGCGATCACTGACAATTTTGACATCTTTGACTTGACCAAACTTTCCAAAAAATGTTCGTAAATCATCTTCTGTTGTCTGACGAGGGTAAATGAAACGGTAAAGTGTATTACAGTTGATGTGATGCCTCCTACGAATATTCGGTTTGGAATAAGGGTCCCAATTTTGGGCACCACAACATTTATACCAGTTGAAGGAACAGTTTGAATTGTTAAAGGATTCATAACTTTTTTTCAAGTCCGTGTAAAGTTATGCAAAAGATCAGGGATGGGATAAATGCGATGAAGTTTGTTCTTGTCACGCGAGTTTTAAAACGCGACGTATCAATAGTCTCATAACAATCATGTGACAAACAGCTGGTAAAAGCGCGCTTTTTGACTGAGCTGACTTAGATGACTACTCAATCAGTGGAGATTTTTAACAGCAAATATTGGTCTTACTTGTTCGAATTTGCAAGTCTTATTAAAGCTGGGCAATCCTTAATCAAGATAAAACTATATTAACATAGTAGCAACGGAAAAAAATGATCTAGGTAAATTCTTCTTTATAGTTCTGGGCTGAAGTATCTTTTTTCACTTGATATTTAAGTTACTGTTAAATGTGAAAGGCAAAACTGTTTTTGGGAAAACAAAAGCTCCATATTAAATGAGCTTGAACAAGACAAAAAGAGGATTTTACAAGCACAGCTGTTAAAAGCGAATAAAGGCTAGCTTAATCTTTTGGGCAAAATTTGGAAGGAATTATGAGGATTGAAGCTGGTGCATGTTTGTGAGACCTAATGCCGTTTATGAATTATGAATAGATATTATTCTTGTAGATTTACGAGCAGAGAACATTGTAAACCCAAGATCTAAGCTGATTTAGAATTAATTCGACAAATGCAAAAATTTGACTTCTAAAAAGTGATTTCCTCACCTCATTGAATCACCACATAGCACATGGCTACTTACATAAACATATTTTTGCCCATATTAATTATAGCTACGAAAGTAACATTTCCAATAAGTTAGCTAAGATTTGACCTGATCTATGGCTGATAGCATTACAACTTGAGTTGGAATTACTTGGCTCATAAAGCAGTGAAATAATGTTAAAATTTAGCCAGAGAAAGCCAACGGGTACACAGCAAAGGGCGACGCAGATAGTATCACTATGGCACCGTCAAAGTATGAAATGCTCATAGAACGGCGGATGAGATTGAAGAGGTCGTTGACGCAGACGAAAGTTTCGACCCTATCCGTCCGTTTATCCGTAAGAGTCGTGTCAAGCGTTTCACTATTGTCTGAAAGACAACTCCACGGTTAAATTGATGCTCAAACAGTACAAAAACTTATTCAAAGTCTTCTACTTCACAAACTAGGGCCAGCGGAATTTAATTAGCACTGTAATCGTATACTACTGTGGATCTACGAAACCGCAAATTCTACGAGATAATAAAGTCCCTGAGGGAGCACTTCGATGAACGATTGTCACTTTTAGTCTGCCGTACAAATGCTTGATGTCTAGGAAAGTCTGCTGAGTCGTCTACAGCCGTACCCAAACATCGCGCTTCATGAAGTTCGCTGACGAACACCAATGTCAAGCCAATCGGCACCGTAATAACGCCTTGATCCAGAATGTGAAAAAAGTTAGTCTCAGAATCCACTCTGCACATTAGCCCAGCCGCTCAGGCCCGCAGAAACACGAACCTTCCAAACCTGACGCACGTCTTAACGACCAGCACCCCGGGATCAGGAAAATGATGGGTCCTTCTTTTCCCTGCTAGAGCTGCGGGGTCTGACTCCATGTCACGAGTACGCCATCATTGACCACACGAATGGATACTGCCATTTTCGCTCACCCAGCATTAGAATACCAGGAAATTAAAGTTATCGACTCACATAACATTTCATTTCAAATTTACCAAACCAATACAAATACTACCCGACGCTAGAAACCAACTTGGATATCAATATCGTTTCGGAGAAGCCATAGCACTAGCTAAATGGACTATTGATTTCTCAGACCATTAGAAACCTTACCGGTGCCTCTGGTGATCAACTCAAGCCTGAATGCATTGACGACAGCCTTTAACAAATTCGGCAATATTCTCATTCATCCAACTAATGTTTAAACTTCCTGTGCAATATTGTTTTCGTGATTAGAGTAAGGCAGCACAATCGCCAAACAGTGAAAAGCTTTTGGCACCGCATAACAATTCGCGACAGTGGAACGGTGGTTCGAGTTCGTCGCCATATGAGCGAAGTGTCCACTTATTCCTGACAATGCACATTGATTGCTTTGACTCCTCTTGAAATTCGGCAGCGGTTATTGGAAGAGCCTTCGCAACAAGGTTATGGCAGTAAGGTAGCAGCGTCTTCGACACGACATTTTTGAACGCTGGACATTCGCTGACTGGGCGCGGCACAGCACCAGCCCGACCGAATTCTTTTTTGTGATATTATTGATTCCCAAAACCGTAATCTGGCAAAATGAGTGCTCAGCCCTAAAGCCGGTTCGCTGAATGTAGCGGGACGTCGATTTTGAACTAGTAGGGGTTTATGAGAAAAGAACTTTGGACTATCAATTACAAAGCAGCTTTCGGCAATGGCGAGCAACAAATATCAATGCCAGAGTTTCCTTTTTGATTTATACGCATCGCCTTCTTGATTCCATCTGGGAACGTAAATGCTTACGTGGCTTCGATAGCGTAAGTAGAAGCGTCTACAGCCACAATGAATAACAGCTCTGGGTCATAGTGAGTCAGTAGAAGGCCCCAGCTCAGTATGGACCTCAGCCAGTAAAATACGTCCTCGCTTTCCTCTAACCAATTCAATGGAATAACCTTTCTAAGCAGGTTTTTCAGTGGACTCTAAATATCATGAAGCGATGACAAAGTTGCTGAGTAGGAGATTACTAACCCCAGAAGGGAAAGAAGCGCGGTCACATTTTCGGAACTGGAGTAAAACGGGTTGCTCTAGTGTACACCAGATCGGGGTGACGATCAATGGCGTCAATAGTGAAACTAAGGCACCTTAGAAATATTAAAAGTAATTTGCACTTCTATAGACACAAATAGAAGCCTTTCACTGATACGCTCGAGGATAGATTCAGCTTGATCACGTAGTTCATCTGACGTAGCACCCACAGTCAGGGCGCCATCTAAGTATACAGCTACGCCAAGGAAGCCAAGAAGAAATAGCTTAGAAACAGACGGAGCAGCCTTTACTTTGAAAGGCAGCCGGTTATTTTATATTAATCCACGTGTATTTGTGGTCATTTCACAACACTCAGTAATGTCTCACTTTGCAAAGAATTTGCCACCCCTCATCATGGTGAGCAAGTTTCCAGAAACGGGGAACGGGAAATGGAGTTCCTTAAGCACAACTTTGAAACCATAGGAGATCCTGACTGATCCATTTCGCTTCCAGGCTACAACACCAGGGCTTGTCCATTTGGATGCGGCAGCTGGAGTCTGAAAACCATTCACAAGCATTTGGATTTCCGCAGTGACTTGAGACAATAAGGCAGCTTCAAACAGCTTCAACGTTCCATAACCTTAAATCTCCTCTTTTAAAGCCTAATTTCCTGACATTCTAGAAGCCTTCGGGCTTCGCACTCCCGCTTTTTTTCCCAATTGGGCACTATTTAGTGAAATACCCTTTTTATGTGCTAATATTAGCTTTCAGGGTAGGGACATACAAGAAGACAAACGGAGAACTGTGACCGTCCCTGTACTTAGACTGTTGGGAAGAAAACCTCTGTTCTAAAGCCTTGATATTTTTTTCTGGGGATGCAACAAAGCCCGTGCTCACACAAGTACTAAGCTCATAACAGCAAAAATTGCATAAGACGGATAACTAGTTTGAAACACTTGCCGTTATCAGCAATAAGAAATGCTACCATTTCACAAAGGTAGGCAAGCCGAGTTCACTGTTGCTGCTTACAAATGCATTTACGAGAAGAGTTGTGATTTTTTTTCCCCTTACTGAAAAGTAAAACTACCCGAACCAGTGAACAACAAACCAGCAAAATCAAGCTAGAAATTTCCAAAGGGGATACAGAAAACATTAAAAGAACAGTATTTGGATCCCAGACTAAAAGGAGTGGTAAAAATGGAATTCATTTAGCAAATCATTTGGAGTAGACCTCTTCCAACAGACTAAAGTGGCAAAAAGTTCAAAAGTCGCACTGGAGATTAAACATTGCTTTGGAATCGGTGTCTTACCGCACAAGGCCGACACAAAAGCGGGAGTCACGTGTAGGGTGATCGTTTAAAAATCAATGCATTAGAACTTTGAGACTATTCGCACTACAAAATTAGCCGGAAATAGGCCCTGTTTACAATCCTCATCATGCTTAACATGGCATGTCCTGTTGGGCCGTATGACCAGTACTGTTTCGAAAGACGTAAATGTGTCCACTTTTCATTTTGCTCAAGATATGATAAACAATCTGAGCCCCCCAAAGACCGCTGCTTTCGAGGCTGTTCAGATTGGCGAAAAAGGCAACCACGCACTGTGCCCTTAAAGACAACCCTTGTAGCCACCGGATACCCTCCGGAGAATTGGATAGTCAAACGATGTCGCAGAACAGATATTAAATGGCCTGGAACGTCAAAACCAGTAAAAGGTGAAGGTGATGAGGATGAAGAAGACGGGGAGGAATGCGAGGAAATGATGGAGGACCCGTGTGAGGCGGGGATGGATTTTGAAGGGGAGAGAGGGACCAATAATGCATCAGCAGTATCCCCCAATCGGAATATGGAGAGTCCAAGTTTTAGTGAATTGCACATGGCAGGGGATGGAACATGTGCGAAAGACGGATATTTAGAGGAGAATGTGCTTAAACTTCCACCTCAAGAAAACAACCTGCTTCGAATGCACAGCAATAGTTCTTTAAATGAGAAGACGGATCTACAATTTAAGGTTGAAAATTATGACAATGTGGGGAAGAACAGAGAGGTGGAAATACAAGTGGACATTCGGGAACGACAACTGCATTCCCCAGAAAAAAAACTAGAGCCATCGGTTAAACAGCCTCCGATTCTACGGCAGAAGCAAAGTGCGCTGAAGCGAATTTTTAACAACATTTCAAGCATAATTAAGACAGGCAGTTGGTCAAATCACGAAAGCACCCTGGTACCTTTGCAAAATTCTTGATTTTCGTTGCATAACCAAAGGATGTGATTTTCATCCCAGCACGATTTTTCAGTTTAAGTCGGTTCAGAAATTGAAATCATGGCTTTCAAAAAAGAATAAAATATTGAAAGAAAGCACAGTTCCATCTGTTTTTTGTTGATCTACGAAGTTGGTATACGTATGTTAACATTCAGGATGCTTACGGGAGCAGAATTCCTATGTCTTTGTAAAGTGTCAGGAACTACGCTTACTTGCCTATGTTCACAAAACAAGCCACATACACTTCACGTATTTCTACTCGTATCCTTTAAAAGTGTGACCATTAGGTGCGAAGTAGACGGAGATATAAAAGAGAACTATTGGATTTGATCAATGAGCGATACCAAAAAAATAAATACTTGTGTTTCTTAAATAAACAATATAGTGGTTACGTAATTTTAAGGATTACAAAAACGTTGCCTTTTTAGCTTCACGATGACGTTTTGAAGGACTTATATACAAAATACAGTTGGGTTTGAGCACCTTTCATCATCCATCATGGGGCAGACAGACTGTCACAAGTAGCACATTTTTCAAGGGCTATTTCGTTCAGGGACTTGGCGACTTCCTCGGTGATTTTCTTTGAACGCGGCCGTCGTATGACAACACCTTCACCGATTGCAATTTTTGGAAGGCCGTCATTAAGCGTTTTGAGGAGAATACAGGCCTGGCAGAACCTCTGGCTAGAAATGTACCCGCAAACAGCGCAGTTTCCTACAAAACAACCAAACATGATATCAACGCGAGGAGTCAGAAGCATACCCTGGACGGGGACCTTCACATCCTCTCTGATGATCATTTGTTCTCCAGAAGAGATGACATCTGAAAGGGACGAATACACTAATCGATGGTAAATGATGCTAAGTCGGACAATCAGTATAAGATGTTATTCAACGCACCAAGGATACTTCGTGGGCGCAGTTTTTCCAAGTCTTTGATGTAGGCTCTAACATGGCCCCGGTAACCATTCGGTGCGTACTTGCACTCCGTTGAGAAGTAGTCCAGCTTTCGCACGTGGGCATACATGACTATTTCCTTTTCGTAGGCATACTTGAATGGTTTGAATCTTGGCAAATTTCCGTCTGCCCCCTAAGAGTAAATTTCATGCGATGTTTCACAGGCCGAAAGTGCGAGCCCTCAGTCAATTTGGCATCCGAACCTCGCCACAGTCAAATCAAATGTTTTGGCACCGCAGCTCATATTGAGATTCCAATGGGCACGGACTTAGAAAGAAGATGCTTATAGGAAATTGGAGTGCTCATACTGTATTTAGTGGAAATGAGTTACGGATTGGGTTTACGGGAGTCAAGTAGATATCTTACAATACCTAAATTTGGTTATTAAAGGAATATTGTACAAAAAACAAACACCAAATTTCTATTACGTTTTTGTGGAATTTCTAAAAATGACAGATTTGCTGGTTCGATGTATATCACCAAATGGTAAAAACAGTGGCATGAAAGGCAATCAACAAACATTAGAATGTTCCAAAAGCTTTTCGATAGTCTTCCGGGGAAAATTTTAACTATATTATGGCAAATCCGTGAGTTGTCGTGTTTTCAGTTGCGCTATTCCAAAGGAAAATGGATGTACCATTTCGTCAAAAGACAACTGAAATTTACCAAATCCTCGGAATTCAACTAACGAGTAAGTTAAGCAGCTACGACTATCCATAGATTTCATGTAACATATTATATATCACTGACGTTGAATTCAGGTTCAAAATGACCAGTCGTAGAGGAAAAAAATACAAAAAGGTGAAACACTTACAGTGATGATATCCGTGCATCGTTTGAGACGACCTATATCGCATCTGAGCACTAAAATTTAAATTCAGAAAGTTGACAAAACAATCAAGCTATAGTTCAAGGAAAATGCAGTACAGCGTGAACTACTTAAACGGCTATCAGTAGGAAGGACCAGACTTACCATTCATCATAATAGTCTCGGCCATATCGTCAGCATTGTGTCCAGTACATATTTTATTGGCACCCACAAGTGCTGCTCCTCGATCAAGGGCTTGTCGACGAAAGACACCACAAAAGGTACAATTATTTCTCAAGCCGATTTTCTGAACAATGTCATCCATAGACCAACCGTAGAGGTCCTTGTAGGAGAGCACCTTCAATGGCAATCCAAACTGCTTCTTGTTACGCTTCACCGTCTATGGTGGGGAAGACATCAGTTTAAACGCTTTACGTCACCTCTAGAGAGTCGTCCCGATAGCCCGTAATTCCTTCGTCAATGGAGAGGAGGATTAGTTCAACACCGTAATCATAGCGGTCGTTCAACAATTTCATCACGTAAGAAAGAACAGTTGAATCTACGGAGAGTTTCAGCTGGGTATACGATATCACCTTTACCACCAGAAGCTCCGATAGCCACCTTATCACCGCGGCGGAGAAGTCTTGCAGAAGTTATTGTCCAATGAACCTCCTCCTCAAAACACCAGAGGAAACAATCGCGACAGAGAACATCGCCCGTCTTTGGTCTCTTTAAAAGGCCTTTCGATCCACAGCGCGCACAAGCAAACATTCTTAAAAAGCGATAGTAAGCAAATTAGACCATTGTTAGGGCTTGAAACAAGTTTGCCAGAAGGCGTATCCTACAAGTCAGTATACTCTACATGTGGCTATGAATACGCTACAACCACCACAGAAATTCTGAAACCAGTAACAGGACCGCCACGTCCTAAAAATCAAAGGAAAACTCTCCTCTATATTTATAAGTAAGGCGTACTTTATGTCAACCTTCACTAGCATTAAATACCCCCGACAGATGTAACAAATATGTATTTCCTACATAAACAACAAGTGATTTTATAACAACGAGAAAAAGAACCTAATAATGTCCGGCTCACAAGGAAATCCGGAAAAGTATGAACTCATTTGGGTTGCTGTTTCGCACCATCTTTTACAAGTGACCTATTTTCTCGAAATTCAAACCTAACAACTATTTTGAACTTGAAATTCTAGAGAAGAGATGAGAACTTGTGACAAACCCCAGTTGGCCAATGACACTCCCGTATGATGAAGCCGGAAGGTTCAAGAAGTCCGCAGCCCAATTAGGTAAGTCAAATGCACAAATAAAAGTATTAACAAAAGATACACGCGCAATTCTGTCGCACCCTATCTTCAACATTAAAGCGGCACTTATTTTGCCTTTAGAGATGTTAAATGGAGCACTTAGGAGGCCCAATTTTAGAAAGTAAAATAAATCACTGACACGGGTCGAAGTCATATGTAACTACGCAAATTCAGTCCTTCAAACCCAGATTTACACTTCCACTCTTAAGAACCAGCTTTACTTCTATTTGGGTCACATTCAAGAGTATTTCGCCGATCAAGTCGACCAAAGCATTCGTTACAGCTAGCGTGGACCCGGTAAAAGCGATATAGTGTAGCGTCCCGAGACTCCCTGAAGACGAAAGAAGACACAGTACTTGGGCAGAATATGTATGTTCAGCACGGAGAAGGTGTCTGGGCTATTGGCATGGCCCAAAAGACCAGACCACCCAGCGAGGTACAAGGGGGCTAATTCAAAGTACAAAAGTGGCGCCTCACCAGGACCGAGGGATAAACCACTATCGTATTACAATAAAGTACACAGATTAATTGACAGATGCTGTCCATTCAGCCTGCAATGCTTAAAACGGGGAATTTAGGACTAGTAATGCAGTATACACCTTTGAACTTATTTTTAAGCAGAATGTGTTAAGGAAACATATGAATCTTATTGCAAAAAGTCATCGGAATTCTCTGAAGTAGACTAGAGTTAGAAAGGCACACACCCCTAACCTGGATTACCTGTAATTTGAAGGGCGATGAGGAAGGGGAAAACGATGACTCTTCCATAGGTATCATTGAGGTTTGCTGACTGTCAGTATAATGCGCATATTCCCCACCCTCAGCCAAAGCCATGTTTCTGAACCAGTAAGAAAACCCGAGACCTAATAACCTTTTTAAGTTACAGGAATACCCTCCACACCTGTCAAAAATGCGAGGCGCTCGCCCCCATTCCCCCACTTTGCCCATGAAATACATACCAGTTAGTCGAAATCAGTGCGACCGTATAGTCGACGTACTAGAGATGCCAAACCTAACCTAAATTAAAGCATTATCTGCATCTCAAAATGGTGCACAACGCCCTGGAAACCCGGAATCAGATGCGTTCTCGTACCATGGGCGCCTAGCAGCCAAGATCAAATCAATCAAATTTGACACCCGCTTAACCGATATATTTCGTCTACTAGATACTAGAAACAAAGCAGCACAACCATTGATAGCCATTATAACATTCAAATAGCATGTACACACAAAAAAATAATTCTATCGTGCTGTGTTCACGTGCATGTGCTCGCACGCGCGAGGTAGGAAGGGCGAGAGAGAAGAAAGATAATCAATCAAAGCGAAGCGCAATTGAACACAAAAATATCAACAAGACGACCCATCACCGTCATCCAGAGAGCAGCCATCGCCAGCAGCATCTCTATCTTCAAGCTTCTGATGCTGCCGTCGCTGTGACCGCTCTACCGACTGCTCATTCACAAGGTAGGAGGGATTGTGGGAATGCGAGGTGGAGGCGGTACAAACGGCGACGGCGGGGTACGGAGAGTCCTCGGACAGGCTGTTGCTACCCCCTGAGCCACCAGCACCGTGGGGCGGTCCGAGGACGGTTTTGATGAGACTAGGAAGGTCAGCAAAGCCGGTGGCGGGGGCGGTCGTAGCGATTGCCGAGCTGGAGGTAGACTTCTCGAAGTCTTGACACGGTGGCGGCTGCTGGGTGAAGGTATCGCCCACGTAGAAGTAGCTTGCTTGGCGGAAATCGGCGTCAGCGAATCGAGGTGCAAGGAGATAGAGGAGGTGCAGAAAGGTGGGCCGCTGAGCGGGACGGTAGGACCAGCAGTAAAGCATCACCGATTGTCTGAAAGCAGACAGCGAAGGGAGTTACCTAAGCGAACTCAGGTAGTGTTTAGTGGGGGCACCATGTGAATACATTACAGTAGGGGAGGGCAGTTGATTGGAGCACCACTGGAGACGAGAGTGTTGCCGTCAAGGACGTAGGAGATCACTTCATTGTGCGACATGCCCTGGTAGGGCAAACACGCCATTGTTGCGATCTCCCACAAAACCACACCGAATGACCTGAAGCAATAGTAGGAGCAATTCGGTTAACGAAAAAGAGATCACTCAAATTGTATAATACCAAACATCAGAGTAAAAGTTAGGGTTCAGTGGAATATTTAGCTAGAGATTAGCGATCTGCGCACCACCCTTTTAAAAGCCCAAAAATGGATCTATCAGTTGGAAGACGTGCCGCATTCCGCGAACTGCCTCCAACCAACAACGGTACTTAAAGACGCGGTTTGGTGAACTTGCAATAAGTGTTTATTTTTAGAACGCCTAACGACAAAATAGGAAGAACCAAAGTCATCATTTATGAACGAAATAATTAAACAAATTCGAAGCTATCACCAAACTTAGAAAACAGCTGTAAGGGGATGGATCTGTTCTATTTGTACAGTGACTAATCACGTTCAAAGGATAAAATCCACCAAACTAGTAAGAAAATGAATAGCAAAGCCAAGACTATCAAAATAGGTACAAATTCGGGATTCGGTAAAGTGATTACGGTGGGGAAACGGATTGTAAACAAACCAACTAAGTAATTTTGACAAATAAACTGCGGGGTATAGAATCATTGAGGACTTGGAAGCACAAAACTTATCTTTAGGAATTTTCTGGACAACAGTAACGGAACGGTTAACAACACCTAAGCGTCTTGAATCATTAAAAACGGCAACATTAAAAAAAAATCGAACTTTTCTCACCTTTAAAAGGAAAAACTACTTTTGACGAAGAATAACTAACCCAGCTAATCAAGGTCTAACAACAAAAGAACAGTTTTATAATCCCTATTTGCGGTTCCAATAAAAACCAGAATAGACTCACAATTTCGAATCTGTGAATTCTACGCGATCGTTTTAAATTAGGTGCCCACTATTAAAAGGCCGGCACTGAAGTGCTTTTGTAAAGATTTCAAGCAAGACACCTTTTAAGGAATGATTCAAGTTGGTAAAAAACTTTGCTGAGCTTAGAGCAATTTAGTGATTCAATTAGTATAAGAATTGAAGGAGAAACTGATACCCCACATTGCCCAATTATTCCAATATCAGCCAAAGCTTGTTTAGGTACGAAGCGAAATTTTTGATGCATGAATTGTAAATTGCACAACATGAAAACAAATTAAAAATTCCCAAATAAGCAGTAGAATTCAAACCGAAATAGCATGTTTCTTTAAGATCCATGCAATTTTTTAGAATTGTAATCTAGTTAAAAGTCGAAACTCCAAATAATTGAAGGAAGATCGGAAGCAGACCAACAATTGAGGTAAAAAAGTGAGGCAATTTTCCACCAGAGAGGTAGTCACACCCACCACACGTCAGAGCGGGAGGTAAAGTATGCAGACTGCAGTGACTCCGGCGCCATCCACCGCACAGGTAGCTTGCCCGCGCCCACCTTGTGATAGTAATTCCTCTCGTAAATGTCCCGACACAGGCCGAAATCACCCACCTTTACCACGCCTCGCCCATCCACCAGGCAATTTCGGGCCGCCAAGTCACTGAAAACAAAATAAGTAGTGCGATGGCGTTACCACCAGGTCAATGTCGTACTGAGTTCTGACGTAAAACTAATGAAACAGTGTCAATATTTTTTAACATTAGCAGAAGTTTGATGACGAGGTGATCAGCGAGAGCATAGTGCGCCAAATGCTTGTTAAAGCGTTTTCATTCTGACCCATTTATTTAAGGGAATCCGAATTTCAACCACGGTGCATGATAAGCTAAAGAGTACAGCGAAAGTGGATATACGTTTTCTTAAATTGGGGATTGAAATGACTACTGTTCCAACACCATTGTACGACTTGAAACAAATTGAGATGATAAAGAAGCTAAAAAGACGGTATTCACTGTAGGAATCGAATGAGTGGAACAAAAAGAAGTCTTAAGCGCCACATCACAGATGCCGCCCGTGCTAAATCAATGCACCGATCTATTTTGTAGAATCACAAGTGTTCGGCAAAACCAGTGGATGAATTGGAAGATGTAAAAACGTCCAAAATAATACACTAGCTGGAACTGAAAAGTTAATAATCTAAAACCGGCAATACAGCTTCATGAAACCCAGGCGACCAGTTAAAGCGATAGATGCCGACTGCAACGAAAACATTAGAGAAAGCTGGCAATTATTGGTCAAGTAAAATTGGCCAATGATAATTCAATCTGCTTGTAAGAGAAAAATATTGATGCCCAAAATTCAAGTTGTGCGCATAGAAAATTTACTTTCAACCAAGTACTTATTAGAACACCACACTAATAGACCACCACGTTACGAGCATTGGACCACTTCTTACATAAAAAACAAAACAACAATCGCTCGAGAATAGGTCAAGAATCCATCTATCCGCTATTCTAGCTTATCATTAAGATATCGAAAATGCTGAGATAAAAAAAAAACAAAAATGAAAGAACCCACCGATGGACGTATTTTTTTCTTTCCAAATAAGCCATTCCATCAGCGATTTGAACGGCCCAGAGGTAAGCTTGCGCGGGCTTCACAAAGCCAATACCACTGTCACCAAGCTTACGTAAATACGAGGCCAAATCCCCGCTCTCCATCAGCTCCATCACCACGAACAGACCGTACTGGGAGAAGGGTCGAATAGATTCGGAGCTGGAGCAGCGCTGCACAGTCGCAACACCAGTCTCATCTGAAGTGGTAGAAAAAAGCGAGACGTTTCGTGTTGAGATAAAGCGAAGCACTTTTGAGTACCTTGTGTCGTTAGAGTAGACCTGCAATCCTTTTGGTTCTTCATCAAGAGGCGGGAAAACGAGCCCCGACCAAGGCGTCCACTCCCCGTCCAAACTCTTTTCGTTGGAGAGGCATCTGTTGTTCCGTTGGAACCGTCAGGTCCCTCTGTAGGAAACGTGAAAGAAAGTGACATTGTCCAGATAAGAAATAGGATGCAGGTAGACACCAAACCATCCACCACCCTTGTCAAAAAGTTTTAACGCGAGACATAAGCACTTCTTTAGAACAGGAAATGCCCATTTAATATGGGAATATATTAGTAACTTAAGAGCGCATTGAAAATAATAATGCAAAAATACAGCCTCGGAAAAAACAAAAACAACACAGCTCTTTAAGAAGATGCAAAAGACGCAACTGCGTCACTACGAAAGAGAAGTTTGTGACAAAATTCATGTCGATGTAATTCCAAAGTAGGGTAGCACTGATACCCTAAGGAGAGTTATTTGGAACTAAAATCCTTATGTTAAACACATATTATTTTTTTTTTTTTTTTAAGAATTCCACTACTCAGGAATCAATAAGGAATGAAAGCTGCACCTATACATAACACTTTCTTACTAATTCAATGAGAAATGCCACTCTTATTGTATAACAAAAACAAAGGCAGTGACGCGCTGAAACTTTATTTACATAAGACGCGAGTGGTACTCCCACGATAAATTTAATGGGCCCTCATCATCAGCATCCCAATGTGTTAAAAGTAGATGAGTGACAATTTTCGCCAGTTATGTTTGAGTAAAGAGGGGAGGCAAAGCGAAGAATGAAAATTAAAGTTCCTACCATTGATTCATGTCATGTTTGAAAAGCAATAAGAATAGCTCAGTCAAGTTTAATTTGATGCAACATAGCTATATACGGAAGCAATTAAATCTACAGCAAGTTGACTGAAAGAAATGCCTGTAGCGTGTTCTATTTTGCCATTACATGATCGCCCTCAGTGCGCCATGACTTCACGACAATCGCAAAATGTAGAGACAGTAAGAAGTCTTACTTGAGGTGTTGAACCCTTCGTTAGAGGGTGTTCTAGCAGTGCACGTGAGAGAACCTCCGTTGCCCGTGTTACCGGTCATGGTTTCCTCAGCGGATAAACTGAAGAGCTTCTTCTTGATGGGCACGGGCACGGCCTGGCGCTTGGGCCGATGTCGTCTCCAGAAGCCTCCACCACCAAAGAGACGAAACAAACTGAAGCGAAACTTCGTCTGCGCCGCGCTAAAACCACCACCGCCATCACCACCACCACCGCTGCCACTTCCACTTCCACCACTGAGAAAGGTTCTGGCAGCAGCAGGGACTGCAGAGGATGGGGAGCACTTGCTCACGATGCCAAAGAGTCTCACAATGTGGAAACTCTGGAATTGCTTCATGTAGCAGGCCTCCGTGATAAAATCGCGACGGTCGAATACAGTACAAGCAGAAGAAAGCGTCTAAAACTCAGCATAACCTTAGTTGAAAAGCTAAGAGTTGTGCCACAAATTCAACTTGAATACCAATGTAACATTCTTAGTAAAAATGCATTACTAATAGTAACGAAATAAACGTCAACAGCAAGCAAATGTAGTAAAACTACAATAAGGAAACACAGTAGTTTAGCAAATTTGCAGCATTGAGAACGGATAAACTATCAAATACAGGGTTTCGCAGTAACGATGAGGGCTGCTTCTCACAAGAAAAACTATGGCAAGAAGATAAATACTAAATCATTGATCCCCTATCTTTATGACTGATACCGCAAACGCTTATGAAATCACCACGTGAGGACAATTACGTCACCGAGACCACTTAAAAATCATACTGATTCATTATAAATGTAATAAAGTAACAAACTTATTTTATTAACAAAGCAAAATAATATACACTATTTGAAACCTAGAAACGGTCGTCATTAAGACGGTGAGAACACATTGAATATATATGGCATCATTCTCGGAACGATGTCTCATGGAGGCCTGAGCATTTTGACAAATTTCATCCCAAAGAATTTCCGACGAAAGTGCAAACGGGTTTTTTCCTCATTGACATACTCAACTCAGTGCACGGATTTGTTGGGCCACGAATAAGGTATCAAAAAGAACAAGATCAATGAAAAATGTGAAGAAATATTTTTAAAGGCTTAAGAATGTGGTAATAAAAAGTCACGTCACTTATTAAATCATTACCAATGCCAATTTTGAGAGCGAATGAAACTGGGATAGTGCTTCTGCACCTGATATCAACTTTTTAAAAGTTATGAAATCTAGCGAGCATTGAAATTAACAAACTGTATCTGTTTCTGGCAATCAATATTTCTGTCGAAAAAAAAAACAAGACAATGAGATAATGGTGTTTAAGACCACGAAACAGTTCGGAATAGATCTTGGTAGGAAAGAGTAACTCCTATCTAAAATTCAAGACAATTTGTATGCGTTAAAACATTACAAAATATGACTACACTTTCATGCCTGAAAAATGCCTCAATATATTGTAGCCTCTGCATCCTCCAAATGATTTAGGAAGAAAGCTGGTGAATTTTGGAAACAACTAATTTTTGCAAAGTCTCAAATGGGCCCTATATTGGCGTTGCAGACGTCAGCTCAACCTCTAAACGCAAATGAGAATGATTCAAGAGAAAAGCAAACCAGCAATGTATTTACAAATTAGTCACGAAAGCTGGACCTAAGAAATGACTAAACGACTCAGTTCAAAAAAAAAATTAGGGTTAAATGTGTTAACCCCTAAATACCTGGAGTTTTACGAAATGATATTCCCATATCGTATCTGGAGTTTACTTTATTCATCATTTTATTTCAAAATCTATAATTTGAGTTTTAAGTGGATAATTTTAAGTAGTCTTGTTAGTTTACCAACTAGAAAGAGTCCGGGGAAGAAAAAACTTTCCAGTAGTAGAATGCAGTACCAATAAACTTCGAATAAGGAGTTAAAAGAATGGTTAATTAAACAACGGTAAGTTGGAAAAAAACTAGCAGAAATCGGCGCGTGTTCCAAGTGGATAATTAAGCATACCCCGAGCCGCACCAACAAAGCTGATGTAAGCAACTAAATAATGAAAGTCTAAAGCCCAAATTAATGGCTGAAAAGGCTCATAAAGGTAAGGGATATTGGCTGAAGAAATACAAGTTACTCGGAGTCCGTAATCAGCCACCCAAATTGACATTCAGTAAAGCCGAAGCAAATTTTCCTGAAGAGAAGGTGAAAATGTAAATACCTTGATGGCAGCAGGAATATTATGGGGTTCGGTATAGAAGCAATGGGCGGGAGTGCGAAGCGTTTTCACAAATCCCCGATACACCATGCCAAAGTTGCCGCGCCCAAGAGGATGACGGAAATTCAGAGTGTCGATGTCCTCTAACTGCATTTCCCAATCGTCCACCTCGTAAACGTGCCAGTACTCCGGGTTAGGCGAATTCCACTCACTGTCCATCAAACGTCTTCAATGAAAACAGGACAATGTTAGTTAAGCATAACTATTTGCGAACTTCACTATTCCAGCCAACTTTAAGGTTGCACATATGTTCCCAAGTCATAACCTCTGCAAAGGTGATCCGAGGGTTGAACAAATAAAAACGTAGTTGGGTGTGAATCACAATATTTACGGTATACAATACTTCACGAGCCGTTTACACAACTTACGACTAAGTGAAGCTGCGAATAGCGCTCACAAATTAAGAAGGAAGGCGAGAAATACAAAGAATGTCACGGCTCCAAATGAAATGACAGGCATAATCATTTAACAACCACCCCGCATAGTTGTGTTAACATAAGGTTTGAAGACTCGTCTCTAAGCCCACAGCACTTCTACTGGCAAAGTAAATACATCGATGACGAGAAGGTACCCAAACAGCATGAAGAGAATAAGCCCCTAACGTATTGAGCCGCATACCGGCTAGGCATGTCTAGCCTAATGGCCTAGTATCGAAAAATACAACATCATGAATTAAGGATAAACTCACTTCTTTCGAATGCGATGTATTATGCAAGCGATGACCAGAGCCAAGAGCACGGACACCACCGAGACACATATTGCGGTCACCGTTATTATCGTGTCTGCAAGACAAAATGTTCAAATACCTAAGATGACAGAAGCATGAAAAAGAGGTTTTGAGTGAAAAACGCACCAATAGGGGAAGTAGTGACCTCAAACAATAATGGCGGCGTCCACGAGCTATTGCCCGCCAGTGAAACCGCCATGATCTGCAGCTCGTAGAAACCGGGAAGAAGGTTGAGAAGTTCGGCTCCGCCGAGGCTCGAATTGGGCTGCTGTGAGAATGAAGCCATCGTTAAGAAGTTTCCGCCAGGAAAAAGACGAGAATCCTCAAGAGGCGTTGTGACGACGGAGCGCATGTGGCGTTTTGTCCCACTTCCACCTAGTAGCCCCCCACCTCTTCCGCCAAATGCCCCTCCGTTTCCTCCTATGCCTGCTCCGTTTCCTGGAAAGCCTGCCAATTGCCAGCTGGCTCTTGTGACGCACAGCGTCGACCAGACTGTCGAATCTGATGACAACTCTGATTCGGGAACCGGTTTTTTGGACTGAAAAAAACAGTAATCCTATTTGGGATCTCTTGGACTCTGGAAACGCTATAATAATCCATTCACTTCTGACTTATTCTGCCGCAAGATTGGAGTTTTAGTAGCGCTTGCCTTGAGTGCGGGGGCTTGTTCGACTCGTCTGTAGCGGAGCACGTAGTAGAGAATAACACCGTTAGGGTTTGCCGGCTCTGCCCATGACACATAGACCGTTCCCGCAGCATCTTGCTCTGATCTGATACTCTCGAAGTTCACGCTGTCCGCTCCAGCTAGAGAAAGGAATGTACGAATGACATTAGGATACACTATGATGAACGTCCTTTATGAATTAGGAGCCAACCGCGTTGCAAATAATAAAACCAATTCTAGACCTTAACGACATGATATAGATTCGAGAATTCTTTTACAATCATTTCATTAATACTATTGATATGGTCATAATAGAACGTCTTTATAAATAATACAAATAATTCTATGGAATGTGACATCTCTAGGAGATGCACACCAAGCAAATGAAAACTAATTTTAGGTGAGATATAGTAAGTAACAATTTTTTGGACATGAGTACAAAAATATGAGTAACTATGATAATCATGAATGATAAAAATTACGCCCATAAAGTTCCGATTAGATCTTAAATATTATCAAAGACGGAGACAAACCACCAAGCATTTTGGAATTTCGGAGATGCAATCAGTGACTTACCAGCAGGAAGAGTTCTTTGAGTCTTGAAGACCTTGTGACTGCAATAATGCGATAAATAGTTATTCCATCTTTCCGTCAGTTCTATCTCCACACCCGATTCGGGTTTCATCAAACCAGTCCAAGGGAAATCTGAGTTGTCACATGGTTTCTACAGAAGGACGTGGGAAAGAAGTGACTTTCAACGAAATAAATGCAAATGGAACTTTCAAAGAAGTCATCAATAGAAACACGTACCTGACAGGCTTGCAGTTCAACAATGTATTGCGAGAAACTGCGAAGATGGGAGAGAGTGCTAGTGAAGGATTTTTTCCCAGCCTGGACTACGACACTGATGCCGTTATCGTAAATTTCACCGTCCTCAACCACGTTCAGCACAAACAGCCCCACCTCGCCATCTTGCAATACTCGCGAAAGACGATTGCCTAGACGGTATGACATCAAAATGACACTCTACATCAGTGAAGTGAATGAGAGACGATAGGTAGGATTTACCAAAGACCACTGGGAGAGGGTCATCATGCGCGTCAACCATCCAAAGACTCTCGTGGGAGGCAGGAGAACTGCGGCGTCGATCCGAACAGAGATCAGGGTAGGACTTGCTACGAAAAAAATGTAGATTAAAGCAGTTTTTCGGATGAATTCAGAGGAATACGTTAATACCTACATGTGTGACCAGTAAATTCCAGTTAAACGAGACGTTCCAACATGGTAAGAGGGCGTGATCGCGGAAGAAAGCCAATCAGGTGCTAAAGCAAGATGCATTGTAGAAAACTCAAGAGCTGTCAACAAATAAGTGAATAAAAGGGAGTGTGAGGATATTTACTCAAAAAACAGAAGTCTCGGTAAAGATAGGGCTCCGGATCGATGTGAATAGAACGGAACCAGAGAAGGTACACGGCCAAGAGGCCATTGTTGTACTGAGGCGGTGACCACCTAACGGAAATCCTTGAGTCATTTAACGCTTGCAACCTCTCCAGACGTGGATGCGACGGGTCTATAAGTGCAGGTGGCAAAAGAAGTGACATCAAAATAATACTATAGGCAATAGGTTCAGTACAACGACGGTAATCAGGTAAACCTTACTACTAGGATTCGTGGTGAAGTAGACGATATTGCTAATCGCCCCACGCTGACTAAAAAGCGTTTTAGACTCAACATAGACGGCATAGCGAGTAGCTGGTTGGAGGTCAGTGAGTATTTTGCTGCAAAAGGCAACATTCTCTCCTTTCACTTCACGTATCGTAGAGGTGTTGCAAATCGAAGGAATCATCTTCCATCTATATTGGTAAAAAGCATAAGCGTTTAAGGCATTCAAATTACTTTGAGACAGCTACCCCAAATTCTAATGATACGCTGAGCGCTATTTTGATCATCCAAAGTCCACCACATTACGATTTCTAAGCTGCAAGAGTTTGGTTATAATCTCACTGGCTACGCCTTCGACCAGCAGCTCGCCTGTACCAACAATACAAGACTAATCCTAGTACTGCATTTCAAATACGACCTCGAGAAAAACTCGAGCATCACAATAATCTGCTGGGCTCTAATGTCAATGAACTAGTTAAATGAAGGCCTATTCCATGATTGTTAAGGCCCAAAATTTAACTCAATCTACAAATAAACTTACGAATCATCGCCGCAGGAGAGTCGATTCGTGTAGACGGTCAAATTTTTTGTTCTGCAACAAAAACCATCAAACAAATTGGTGTCAAGGAAGTTACTGCCTCAAATCGCATATATAATGCGCGAAAGAGTGCTTAATCGCCAAAATAAAGATGTAAACAGTCACATTCATCTGAATAGTGTACAGATGAATGATGATAGACTCTAGAGATTAAACAGTAGTCGTTCAAACATACGTAGCCTGGAAGAAGACCAACACCAGAGTGGAAGCTGCTTGGCCAGTTGTGCGGTTGTCAAAGAAACGTGGCCATTGGATGGCAACAGTCGAGGAAAAGACATCCTTCAATTCAAGCGAGATTTGTGTAGTCTCACCTGAGCAAACAGTTCACAATGTTACTGGACAAACGAAGACATGAAACATACAGTCGAAAGTTGTTGAATATCTTCATGGAAGTAAATGCTCTCAAGGATATGCAATGGAAAAGATCACTAAACCTTCCGCTTTGGAGTCCCCTTCATGATAATCATTTAACCTCTTTTACACAGATTTCATTAGCCTGGAAACTCGTAGTTAAAAGCGAAGATAAAATAATAAGGCAACGGTTACAGTAACATACATGTCAAATAAATCATAACAGAACCGCAATTATGAGCCATTAAAACAAACGATTTTAAAATCAGGGTGAATAACTCCTGAAACATGGACAAACATACAGCGTAACGAGAACATAGGCGCTCATGCAGGAAATTAGGATTAGTCACCAGGACATCCATCAAGGTCTAGTGCAGACGACTAAATTAGACAGAGGATACCTGGGTAACTAGTTTAACGTAGAATAACAGAAATACCCCTCTCCATCAAGGTGAATGTTGTGAAAAGCAACTTTCGCTATACACAATGACACAAGAACTCTCTTATAGTTAAAAGGGAAGAAACAAGCTATAAAAACTACTTATTAGCAAAGGAATTCATCTTGAATTATGGCTCAACTTTTTATCCGGAAATATGACGGAAAGGAGACAAACAGACAGATGGCCATTTGAAGCTAACTAATCATTGTAATTTCTGCAAATGCGTAGTACTTTCTTCACAGAAGACGGGAGATGAATGAGGAAGCACATAATTTAAAGTGAGTCACGACTTATTCCAACCCCCCCCCCCCGATAAGAGGTTCGTCTCCATTCTCACCGCTAAAGTACGCTCAAAAACTTGTCGTGAGTTGTCTCGAAATATCAATGAAATATACTTTACTTCACGGATTAAAAAAAGTGATTAAAAGCAGACATCCTTTGCAAATAACTTACATAGCTGTATATTATGCAGCTTCTATGTATGTATAACAGAATTTGACGAATTTATAAAGTTGCAGAAAAAAAGTGCACAGCAAACCAAAATTTCTTCCGTTTTTCCGCTAAAAGGTAGAGCATTTAATGACGGGAAACAGTAATGTAACAACAAAAAAAAACTCCAAACTGAAGAACTATGTAGCCATAATCGGGAGTGGTCAGTGACTCAAAAGGAAAAGCCATAAGGAACTGGAAATACAGAACAAATCCTCCTACAAGAGTGAATTTTAAACCCCATTAAGCTAAACGAATTTACGACGTGTTTAGAAGTGTTAAAATGCAGTTTGATGATTTATAGCTCCGTTGCATTAAAGTGAGTTCAGAAATACGACTAGTGCTCATTTTCAGTGATTTAAGTTACGTCGCTCTTACGACCGTATTTTTAATTCACCATTCACTGGAGCGCCACATGTAACCTACAGAAGCCGAGTTTGCCATTGGTAGCCTCAGCGAGTTCGAGCTCCTCTATACGAAAGTTGCGCCCACCGGGCAGCGTCAGAGCGCCCGTCCTCACCAAGTCCGTGATCTTCTTGGGGCAAAGGTAGCGATTGAGGATGAAATGCACAAGCCCTTCTGACACCACCTGAAGTCCGCCTGTCTGGTTCCTCGTTGGCGGAGGCCACAATTCCAGCAGGTTATCGTTGCCTCTTATCTCTATCACTGTCCTGTGGGCTCAGTGGAAAAAAAAATTGGAAAAAATAACTAAAGTATACGGCTATCTGGAAGCGGACAATGTTCTATAGGGAGTTAAAGCCCACTACGCAGATGTATTCCTATTGCAAGACTACTGGGGGGTCAGACGCCCCGTACAAGCCAAACAATTCCACTAGATTTGGATCAGAAGAGCTTAATCTTCCACCTATCTAGCTTCATATCTACAATTCAGCTGCATATCTAATTGGCGTTATTGAGGTTGTGATGCCTTTAAGAACCCGAAGAAAATCAGGAATTTATCAATATCCACTCTTAAATAAGATCTCAACAGCGAGAACAGTATTCAAAGAAATGCAACTAATCCTGTTTTAATCGAACACCCCTCTGAAAATCGTTACAATAGGTATGGTGAAGGAAATGGACCCATTTTTTAGGACTTCAACAGCTAATTCATGCCGTTAGGAATAAAATCACACTACCAACACCCTATGCAAACTGAGGAGTTGGCGTATCCCTATGGATTTATGAAGCTATTTCGAATACCAACTTTAATTTTCACCCGGCATTCCGTGCTTTTACAGGAATTCTGTTTTATACAAATGAAGAAATTTGCCATGTTAGCGCAACATTACGACAGCCAAAGTCAACAATAACGATGAATAAATTATTTACATGATACATGCAATTTCGAAGGGAACTCGAAGTAACATAAATGTATCTATAAGGGCATATTTGACCGCCAACACGTTTTCAACAACCACTGGACGTGTTAAGAATCCCACACCTCCCCTCCACCAGAAGTTATTATAGCACTTGGCGAACGTAGACCACCCAATATCTGCGCTATAAAAAAATAGGAATTGAGCTACGAGGATGAAGTCAAGACCAAAAAAGCCTAGAAATTTGACAATGAGCGCAACTTAATTACTCGGAGCATTGGCAATAAAAACGTCAAATATTTGCAAACTTCATGAGTTTTCATAAATATAATTACATGTTTAATCATGTTAGATTGGTGAGTTCAACTAACTTTTCTCAACCATGATAAGCCATTACCTTAAGCGAGAATCCTTAGGGCTTCTTTTCGTTACTTTCAACGTAGAAATATCAACAAGTTTTCCTTTGACATGAGGTTTTGCTTCCCAAGTGTTTATTGAGCATAAAAACGACAGATAAGTGCATTGCCAAATCCAGTCACAAATTTAATTACAAACTGCAATGCCCCAAAGTAGTTAATTCAGTGGACAGTAGTATGCACAAACATGCTGACCTAAAGTCTACACAAGAGGCGAATGCATCGGTTGTAAAAATTAACCTTATGATCGGATGAGTCAAAACTCAATGGTCTGGAAACGAAAATGCCGCAATGCTATTTATTTTATCCTCTAAAAAAGCATTAGAAAATACCCTTAAACTCACACGTTGGGCGAGGAATTAGGAATGGTGTTGATGCGTTTGACGTGGCGGAGGAAGGCAAGAGAAGTGAGAGCTGTTGCCCGAACAACCCTGATACTTTCAACCTCCCGCAGACTCGAAAAAGCCTCATCGAATTGCTGCTGTATCAGAACTAGATAGTAGAATAATAGACAAATGTACACGGCTGGTGTAAACACGTCTGAGACTCAATAATACACTACCCGTATCGCCCTCATGAATGGAGATGTAGAGGTCGGTCACAGAGAAGCAGTCCTTCAGTTTGGACAGTGACTTAAGACTGCTTATTAGCATATGATGACATCCTGCAGGATAGTAAGAGGAAAAAAGAATAAATAAAAGCGTTGCGTAATTATGGGTAAGGCAGAGGCAGGCTTACGAATCCTCGGACACTCGTCGCCACACGGCACACACCGCCCACTGACTTCGTCGCGCTGATTACCTGAGGGGCAGTCAGGAACGCAGCGACCCTGATGGATAGCGAACTGGCGAATAGCGGTGGTGGCTACAGTTGCCGTGGTGTTGACTGTCACTGAGGCGGCAAAACCGGCAGAGCTGCTTCCGCTGCTGCCTGCGACATGAGGAAGACGGTAGGTACTGCTCATATTGAGGCACTCTGCCGCAGTCACGCACCGACGTCCATGGAAGAGATAGGTGGTTGGAGGGCATTGGGAAACGCAAACTCCACGGTGCAGAGCCCCCTTACAAGCCACACATGCCTCTGGACCAGGGCCGTAACAGCCGGCAAGGCACTCTTTATGGCAACAAAGCTGCGTATTGTCCATTCGGCATGCGATGCCACGACTTGTGCAGTTTGCAGAGCAGACTGGATAAACAAAAGTGAAGAGCATTAAGTCAGCGAAGGACACACATCAGTGAACGCTGACACATTTATTTATGCAGCAAATGGTCAATTACAGAACGCAGAGTGAACGGCGCCGTTAGCCCACGTCCTTAGAGTATTCGCATGAAGCATTTGTTACCAAACGGCAACAAAAATGAGCTTCTTGAATCAGCCAAAACCCGATGCTAGGTAAACTACAGCAGGTATGGAATAAAAAGCAGAGAAATAAACTCCAGAATGAAATTGATACACATTCAAGTACTGTAAAAAAACTAGTTAATTGATTCAAGTACAACTGTGGAATGAATATGGCTACTTAACAAATGTTACCAAATAATGTGAGGTACAAATACTGGGATGTTCAATAGGACTTTTACCATCTTACTGGGCGTCAACTTACAATAGAGCCTCAAAAGCAGTGTAGGAAGTAATTGTTTGGAATTTTATAGCAACAGATGTGATAAACAGCCAATAAAGACTAACAAGCGCAGTAGCTTTCGAGAGTGACGGTCTCCGACAAAAAGAATAATATTGAGGTGAAACAATCTACAAAAACGCGCATGTTTACTCGTTAAAAGAAGCCGTAAATTAATAATGAGAAGACCAGATGGAAGGGGATATATATCCTACAATGAACAATCGGAATCAAGCAATAAATGGGATAAATAGTGGAGACTTGCTGGATTGACAGTAAGACGACGACCAGCAGTGACCCAGTTTGGCATCCTTTTCACGAGAAGTGCCTTTCAGTTCAGTTAAACTTATTGCCTCCGGCGTGGAGGCCGCACACTCGGGTTGACATGTGTCTGGGCAGATGAGACGATTTGTCAACAAGCGAACCGGGGCAGCCGCCGCTGTCTGATCGCCCAGAATGTAGGACCAATTCACAGTCCGCACGTAGCACAGGTTTGTGTTCAAGTCAACACGCACTCCACCACGCTGAATCACGCGGAGTGAGGGTAGACCGATTGTCTAACATTTACGAAGTGTGGAAAACTTTAGTTTATTAGAAGTTGATGGGTTACATTTGACTCAGACCTAAGTGATAAACCAAATATAGAACTATTTAGAGAAGCAATCTATGAGAAACTAGCGGGAGAAACGAGGGTGGCTGATCAAGACAAATATAAGCTAACCCAGAGAAAACCCAAGTACTTTACTGTCAAAGCAATGAATATAAACCTAACCAAGTTAATAAATACCCAAAAACTGTGAGAAAATGACGCTGTTGGTAAACGTTAAAAGACACCAATGTTAGATAATTAACAACAGACAAACCTTCAGAGAGGTACTGCGAATGACAAGAGCAAAATTAGAAATCAATGATCGTCCACGGATGACAGTTAGGTTAGGAAAAAGAGTGGCCAGCCCATCCAAACCCATGAGGTCATAGATTACTAGAAACCCCGTTATTTCCCGGAGATTTGGTATCGAGGCGTTTACGGGGAGCTTCGTCATCACGATTAGAAGGTTTCCTTCGATAACAGTGCATGATTTGATGCGTGACAACGCGGAAGGTCGCCGAACGTCAAAGTCCCCACACACTTATTGAGACAACCAATTAGAATTTCAAACATACGCATTTCGTTCTGCTGCAGATATGTATGATTTCCACCGACGACCCGACAGTAGGACGGGACAAAAGCGGTTAATTGAAAAAAGAACAGACAGAAAACATATGATCCTATACACATGACAGAATAAGAGGACGATTTTGGCATGTGCCAGGGCCTAACGACGGCTAAGCACTACATCAACAAGGCTTTACCACTTGTAGACAACAGCGCTACATCGGCGGCCCTCTGGGGTATTTGATTTTTGGTATTTAGTCGAGGCAAATTTAACGTTTTCGAGAATTAGCAACAATCAAGATCTTTTGATGTTACGACAAAGTTACAAATAAAAATGTTACATGTAGGAATAGCAAGTTTGTTTTTCAGTACTACAAACTTCGCAATTTAAGAGAAATGTTTGAACCTCCTGTTAATTCTCCAGCAGCGTTTCCTCAAGACAAATATTTTTACAAATGCATCTTTACTGATGGTAAGTTATGAACCACATGCATTAAACTTCGGTCCATAAAAAGGGCATAACTTTGAATGAAATGGAATTTCTGAGACGCCTTAGCAAAGTTTGGGTCGATGGCCTCATAACGTGCATGAAAACTCAATGACTGACATTGCCAGTGCTTGTGCGGCTTTTATGTAATATTTGTGTTGTTTTAAGGTTCCTTTTAGAGGAAAGGTGAGCTAAGGAGTCAACATCGTGTTCACGCCTCCTTGAACTTGCACTTTTTCTTTGCCCACTTACTTACTTTAGTACACATACCGAATGAGGGCCAGAGAAGAGGGGATCTACTAGCCTCGTCCTACGTTTAATGCACGCGGCACATTGTGCTGATCGATACGATGGTGTTACGAAGGTTATCGTTGAGAATGGTGCGCAAAAGAAAGGAGGGTCTATGTAGTGGATTTATGAACTGGTTGCTGTGTGCTTGGCCTCTCGGTCACTTCAATTCCTGCACTTTGTTGGGGTGCACACTTCTGCCAACTTTAAAATTATGACCAAAGTACAGTCACTTCTATTTTAAACCGTGACAATTCGAAGAGTTTGTAGAAGCTATTTGGCTAGATTGGCACTTTTGTCTATTGTCTTTATAATTCATCGACAATTTTATACAAGAATGTCCGATCATTCTTTATATTTTATCTGAACAAGGACATACAAAAGCGACATGTTTTTGAAATACAAAAAGAGTAGCTGCCTTGGCCTTAACTAAACCATTTTTGAGAATTTTTCTTGGTGGTAAAATATTTGTTGTTATTTGTTACATCAATGACCTAGCAGGACTTCTCGGCGTCTAGCGCATAATGCAAAGTGACTACTTCTCTGCCGCTTTTCCCTCTCCTCAAATTGTACTTCGCTTATAACCCTAGTAATGATACAAGACCAAATTATGGATAATATACCTTACACGTCCAGCTTGAATAGCCCTAGCCAACCTTATTCCTACATGCCTACCGCTCCACCGCGTCATTCCGATCGACCGAGACCATCAAGTGCTCGTGATCTGGTTTATTTTGATTTACTAGAAGGCTCATTTCATAATCAAAGAGAAACGCCTCAGATTAGACCGCAGCAGGTCATTAACTCGCCTTATGATGGACGTGCTGCGTCAGTTGATCGGGAGCCGAATCACCAAGGTGGAAATCGAGGCTACTACTCGGGTTCATCTCAACGCCATAATCGAACAGTTTACCCTCCCGGATATCTATATGGTCAGAGCCCATCGTATCAGCCATCGGTTTCCCTTTTTTCAGCTGCCCAAGCGACTGAACAACGTCGGGCACAATCGTATGATATGAACCTGGAAAGGCACGGCCTCTGCGAATATAACAGCGCTTTGATGCCTCACGGCGTTGGCATTAACCGTGGTCCGTACAGTGTGTATGGGAATACAGGGAATGAAAGAATCGATGAACTAGGAGCAGGTGTTTCTCTAATGACCCCAGTTGCTGGCTTCAATAACCCCAGTGGAGTAGCCAGCTATGGCGGCTACGGCGGTGTCGACAATAGCTCAGGAGTCATGACGCTATCGAACAGTGTAGATGTAGTCAATATCCAACGCGAATTCGTAAGGCTTCATCAAGAACTCGACGTAACTAGGGAAAAGTTAAACGCATGTATGACGAGCATTCGCACATTTTGGAGTCCAGAACTTAAAAGAGAGCGTGCTATGAGAAAGGAGGAAAATGCTAAGTATGCTATTCTCGCCGACCATCTTCATCAACTGCAATTGGAAAAACAGGTTGTCAAACTCAACAGAAATTTTAGATTGCTTTTTAACACAGCGATTGTTTATCCGGGAAACCTTTTATTCGCCCGAATGCAGCAATCGTTATTAAATACTCGTTGCATAAAATTCAAGCTGAACTTTTGTCACTTTAGTTGAACTTCATGAATTTGACATAGAATCTTAACAACTATTTTAGACAATGCTACAGGCTCTGCACAATTCCGATGCCGATTTGCGAAGAGAGCGTGAGAAGAATGCCTCCCGATTCAAGATGGGGCCCGACGGAAATGAAGTCAACGAGTTTGAAGTGATGCGACGGCGCATAGACGAGTTGACTTGCGAAAACTGTCTACTGAGCAAGTCAATTGAGAAAGCGGAAAAGCGAGCCTCTAGTCTACAGGCCAGTCTGATAACCACTGAAGAGAGTTTGCGGAGGCTGGTTGAGGCTGTCAAATCAGGAAAGGCTGTCACAGCTCAACAACAGTCAGGTCAACAGCAACAGCAACAAATTGGGGGCGGCAGCAAGACAGACCAGGCTTTAGCTCCAGTAGGGGACTCCGGTCTCGCCAGCATTCGCATTGACCGTCTAGAATCTGACAGAAATGAGATTGGAAGACTTAGAGAACAACTAAATGAGGCCTTCCATAGGGAAAGTGAAGCCGAAAAAGCTCTTGTTGAATGTGAAATGACGAGAAACCAGCTCAAAGATGTAAGCTATCATCGTATATTGATAATCCAGGCCGTCATCTCTGAATATTATTAAAAAGGACTTTAGTATTTACCAGAATTTCTTTAGCTGCCTTATGGTACGCATGCACATTGAATTGACAACATGTTAAGGCTGAAAATGGATTGCGTTATAAACAATACGTGCTCTGACCTACATCTACAACATATAATTTCGATTTAAGCTTGACATCGGTCTTTACAAATCGTGTTCGAAACCGTTTGATGCAATTACAGCAAAGCCTTAGAAAGATCAGTGGTTTCTGTGGAAAATAAAACAGAACATTTTCTCGATTACAAAGTGCTATCTTGATTTCCTTTGCTTTGAATGGTATTTTAAAGGTAGACACCGCTGATGATCAGGAGGATGGGAAATTACGATCCTACTCAACATAGTCCTCCTAAGGACTAAGATATTGTTTTGCCATTTGCTTAAAAGATCAATGGTATAAAAGTAAATTAAACCTCAGCATTTCTACGTAATGAAGACCCGCCGCATTTATGCAGACGGCTACAGCTATGCCAACACTTACCTTCAGTTAAGGTAAATTTTACAATATTTTAAGCCATAAGCCTAGATTGCGACTTTGAAAAAGTTACGTCAAATCAGTCTGTCGTACATAAATAAGAACCCTCAAATTCCTGCTAAAATTGCAGGAAATTGGCTACTTTTAACGAATTCATGTAAGTCGTGAAGTTACTATGGCTAGTCTATGCAGGTTTTTTTCTCTCCCCCGGAAAGCGGTTTTACCATCGGCTTAGCAAAAAGGTGAACCAATTTTTACTACAACTTTCAAAAGGTGGGGGAATGTAGGCAAATCGCACGACACCCTTCTCGCTGCCGCTCTTCTGATTGGCCAATACATCTGAGCCGTAATCAGACGGTATTGATTGTGTATGCGCACGTCTGTGCGTCCGTGTGTGCTCACTTGCGGGTGCGTCCGCTGACGTGCCTGCTGTCCCGGGAAAGGGATGTTGCCTACGCCTTGCGTACACTGCGCTCCCCTAGGCGCTACCGTTTTCACCTCAGAATTGTCACGCAGCGTCGTATATTAAACAACAAATTTTATGACCAATGGTAAAAAATACGATCAGGCTCATGGTCTAAGATACAATATTTTCGCATTGCTAATAACCTACCATTGCCCTTAAAGTAAGCCTTCATTGCACGAGGAAACGTCGTTTGGGCTGAGGTGAAATAAAGTCCCAAAAGTAATTTAAAACAGTCGCAATAACCTGACTTCCAGACTTTGCCAGAATGTCTTCAATCAAATATTCATGTGGTGAAGTTTGGAAATTTGGACACAACACGCAGATAATTTTAAACGTAATTTTAAACTTTTTGTAATGGAGCGAACTTTGGAAGTCAGCATTTTTTTTGTAGGAGAATAATGGTATCGATAATGCAGAGATCGCGTAGCATTACCTCTCGATAGCATAGTAAAGTATTCTCTTCCCAGTGAGTTCTGTAGTCCAAGAATCGAATGTTAGCTTTCAATTTATAGGTAATTCTATCGTGGTTGCTATTATCATTCAAAGTCCAAATTGCGTCTTTAATGATAATTTTTCCAATTGTGTAACTTTATAGGAACTAGATGGTGTATCACAAGATTATGACGCATTGAAGCACGAGAACGAGGGACTTCGCCTAAATATCCGTGAAGTTCAAACACTTCAAGCAATCGTTGATACAAAGGTAAAAATATACTAAACATTCGTTCTATTTATTTACTTATGGAACCCTAGGTTTAGTTTTTAGGGACACATCTGCATGGAACCTACCAGATTAAGAGCTCCACACATTAATAAAATTCACGATTAAAATTTCTTATTCTCTACCCAACGTTTAAACACCCAGCTGAGGTCCTGGTTACCTAACTCTTGATGCTCTTTTCAATACATCTTTTAGGAGTCTAAAATATTGACGTTGGAAAATGAAATCCGTCTCCTGGAAGATGAAATCGCTCGACTTCGAGATGAGGGAATCGTTACTCCGACAACGTCGTTGAGCAGTGGAATTGAAGATGTCGATCGAACCTTGAACACCTTTAGAAGTAACGAGCGTCTCCTTAAGTCAAAGGTAAGAAGCTGTTTGAAAAATGAGAACAATAGGAATAACGTTAAGGATTGTTGGCCTTCCAACAACTCTTCATCTTTCATTGCAAATTACCACATTCCAGTCTCTTTTAATTAAATTCTAAGGTTGAGTTCCTTACGAGTGAGCTCTCAAAACGTGATAACGAGATCTATGCCTTACAATCACGGTTAGAAATGGCGGAAAAGCAACAGCAAGATCAAAACCATCACATCAGCGTGCTGAAAGAACAAGTCAAAGCCCGCGAAAACAAGGTGTCGATGCTCACTGCCGATGTAAGTGAGGGTTGGCAAGTGCTGCTTAATAAACTTTATCGACAGGCAATCATGTTCATATTTTAAGGCCTAAATACGTGTAACAAAAATCTCCCCTAAAAACACAGAAAATCCTTTTACAAATTGTTGTTGACTCCATGATTTAGGTTTTGTGACCAAACGTTAAATGATTTTAAAATGTTGTCAGGTTTAATTAAAATGAGGGCACGTGTCTCCAATGTGGGCGTTCTGAATACTTATGAAAGGTGGAGCATCTGATGTGTTTAAGTTGTGCTATTATTTGGTATCCTAAATCAGTTCTACCAAGATTTAATTACTCTCGCATTGCAAAATCGGCCTTTAATAGGTGCGTGATGGCCAAATTTATTCAAACTTTCTCAATTTTGACGATTGGTAATTAAATAATTTGAATAGAGCTGTAGACCAATCGATTGAGAAATCCTCGGGGAACGGTTCTGACTACTTTAGCTTTCGTTTTGCTTTTGACCTGGCACGCCTTTTATTAAACTAAAAGAAAATGGCATGCTGTAGACAACATAAAAGATGCAGCTAAGTTGACCTTTTTAAAGCTGGTATTTTTGCAACAACATACGCTGTAACCTCTTTTAAACTTTTGAGAAATAGATCCACGTTGTTGCAGTTCCGCTAAGTGTTACTTATTCACAAACATTTATTATTTCTTTTGGAAACTATTAAAATGAAAAAACGAAGGAACAGCATGATCTCGACTCTTGGTTTGAAGATCAGTTTTCAATTCTGCTCACAATTGGCTCACGACTGTAACTAAGCCTTGTATGTTTTGTTTCGAACCATAGTCATCTGTGGTATCTCTAGCTTCTCCAGCGTATATCCAAAGTCCTATGCATTGTTTCCATGGTATTTACCAGCTTTCGCATTTTCCAGTGTTGGAGCGAAAACCATTTCTCAAACATGCGCTCTGTCCTTTGTGTTTACATGCCCTCAAAAAGAAAACGTTTCCTATTGTCATTTACACTGCACACATTCAGATTTTTTATTTAACCCTCCGGATTTCAATATTCAAGTGATTTTTCAGATCTACTTTGCGTGTAGTAGGTTTCATCATAAGTAGTGCTACATTAATAATATCACTGAGTGGTACCAGTATATCCAGTGGCTAGCGAAATAATTAATGCCTATAGCCGCTTTTTGAAGCACCCACAACGGAGGAACCAAGTCATCTGTTGTTTTGCATTCTGTTGCTTCTAGATTGAGGACTTCAGAAAGCGTCTGAAAGAGAAGGAGGGTTTGCTGGAAAAGAAGACGAAATTAGTAGCAAGCAACACCACAGGAAAACGGCAACTGGAAACGGAATTGGCGGAATTGAAGGATCAAGTCGATTTGAAGGAGAGGAAAATTTCATTACTTCAGCGCAAGGTTAGCTCGACTTGTTAAAAACAAGAGCTGATGGTACTTTTAAGTGAAATAGTTTAGTTTTGAGTGAAATTAAAATCATATTTTGCAACAAAGATTTACTAAAAGTTGAAATTTTGATGAGGCACTATTCACCTTAGCCTTATTTTATATTCTCAAATCAAAATGTTGGGATTCACCATTCCTTCCGCGTTTATATAGGTTGAAAATTTGGAAGAGATGGTGACGGAAAAAGAAACTCAACTAACCAGTTTAAAATCAAGGCTTTCGCGTCTAAGTAGCGAGAAAATCGGTACAGAAGGTCCGAAGGCCAGCTTAGAAGACACTTTGAAGGAGAAAGATAGGCAGATTGAAAGGTTTGTTTATTTCTCATTAATTTCAGTCCTATTTTTTTTAAAACTGAACTTAACCTCTCTAGTCCTTTAGGCTTTGACAATTGCTTATCAGCGGGTTGTAGATAATCAAACTTTTGTAAGCTGATGTGGAAAATTGTAGCAAATCCCTTAAGCAAGTCATTAACATGACAAAATGCTACATTAATGGGTAGCCGATTTTATGTCCTTTAACCACAAAGAAAGGTGAAGTAAACTACCACCGACTACAACACACAGTATCACATATAAAATGTAGTTTTTGCTAATTCTGCTTTCTCATACTCTAAGTATATGACAAATGAAGAGAATGCTTGATTGAGCCCCTCACGATGCGCAAGTGATGCTTTTACATCGTTTGATACCAAATGTGCTGTCTAACTAAATTGACATCAAGTCTAAATAAGGCAATTGTTCTGGACTAAGTAGGAGATTCAGGAATATGCCTTTAAGTGAAATCGAATGTAGGTGCTCCTTAGGGATCTTCGATTAAGTTACCTTAAGATTAGCATAAGAATTTAATGGAAATGAATTATGCATTTTTGAAGTCGGTTATTGTTATGGGCAATTCCCTGTGGTTTCAAATACTTTTCAAAATATGCTTGGATACGATTGGTCATCATATCGGAACACGAAAGGCGTGACTTTATGTTTAAATAGGTGTGTTCACGTTAGCTAGACAAATATGTTACTGGTTACGCGAAGGACAAGCATTCATTTGGCACTTGAAAATATGTGTAATCTAAAATATTGCTTAATATAGGGGTTAGCTAACAAGTATGTTCTTCTCTAAGACATCCATGCATGTGCAGTACTGACAGCCTGTGTTAGGAAATACGGTGTTTTCGCGTAACTAAAGTGCGGAGCTGATCCAAAAGGCTCAGTGACACTGTAGTGCCCTAAGTATTTCCTAAAATTGAAAGAAGACATAATACTAGGGCAAAATATGCATTGACGACGTACAGAAGGCGGGGGGCTGTTGACATGGCCTAGAGGGCATGTCGCTCAATGAAGGTACAAAGGCGGAGCCTTAAACGTCCGCGAAACTAAAGCGAAGAGTTAAACAAATAACCACGGTACTACAGTACACTGTCTTAAATCTACTAGTGGTGCTTTTAGCCAGGCATTAACAATTTCTGCAAACAATGCGCACAATTGTTTTATGCATGAAATTTGTGCCACTTTAAGACGTTTTGCAGTTTCCTGACTGCTCTTTTGATGAACGTACGCAAAAAGCCAAAATCATTTTTGTTGCATTTTGACAATTCTGGCGGATGATTAGGGATGAAGAATTTTCGATAGGCATGTACGTGTTTGTAGAATAACTCTGAAGATCCACAATCCACTGTTGACTGATTAATTAAAATGGTCAATTTATCAACCAGTATATTTTGACATTCGTAAAAAATATTTCCAAATGATATCATTGGAAGATCGTTTTTTGCCATTCTACAAAACACTTAATATGTAGCTCCATTCGAGGCCTATGGAATTTGCCATTATAAGGTTGAAATTTTGTCAGATTGATCGAATTTTAGTGTCTTCCATAACCATTGCAATTTATTATATGCTGATTACGAGGAGAGTGTCTATACTTAGGCCTATGAAATGCGAGAAGTAAATACTATACTTTCAGTTCTGAGAATGCTGTCTTAATTATTCAAAAATGTAAATTTTACCATTCACTAATCTGTGTTAAAATGCCATCTCTTCGGCAGCTCATCAAGCACCCCAGTAACAAGAGAGGTCCTTATAAATTTGTGTAAGGGCGAAGCGGTTTTTCACATGAGTAATCTTTAGGGCAGAATTTGTCTTGATTTTCATTATTCAAAGCAAATCCCTTCACCATGAATTTAGATGAATGACTTTTCAAATAAAGGGGAGTAGCCATCAAAATCATCTAGCCCAATTTCTTATTCTTAATAGGAAATCTATGCTTAATACCTCACTACTATAATGCAAATATTGTTCCCAACGTTCGAAAAGGAGCAAATTTAATGAAAATTTGCATCTTGCTAGCATAAAGCTTTGTTATACAAGTAGTCCAAACTGTTAGAGAAGTCAGATATTTAGGCTTGAAAAGTTTAGGTGGAACTTATTTTGCCTCATCTAATCGTAAAATTTATTTTGGTCTTACATATGAGATTTGTATCTGCCCAATAAAACGAAAAAACTAATTAGCTACTCATACGTAGATGTTTTAAAGTAATTTAAATTATTTTTTGGCGACTCCTCAAAAAGGCACTTTATTCTGTGTTTGAGCTTTGAAGTTAGTCGAGAAAGTTAAGTCGAAACCGTGGCGTTTATTCAAAAACGACTACAAGAATCAAATCACTTTGAATGTCACCTATTTCATTTTCGTGCGGCTTCTAGTAGGTTGAAAGTGTGGGCTTAAATGGTATGGTTTTTTTGCCACAATTAGGTAGTAAAATCATTGCCGAGAAAGTAATGATGGAACGTTCGATATGCTTACGTCCACCTAACAGCATCAATCGAATAAGTTTGTAAATGTCTTAAAGGCAGTGCGTTCATGATGTTTAAATACACGTTAATTAGTCGCATTTGTAGCGTCCTGTGTCTGTCTTGACGACGAAGGGAATCATAAAACAAGGGCAGGATGTGTCTTGTCAACGTAGAGAAGGGTCGAGGGCTGTTGGCATGGCCATGACGCCTTGCAAAAGTAAAAAGGTGGAGGCGTAAGTGACTGAGAAACTAAAACGAAGAGTTAAATTACCAGATCATTACCTAACCACCCAACTTTTTTAAGCTTCGTCCCCGACGCTTCCCCTTGTCAGCCTCCTGCGTCCACCGTCACAACGTAGTCGGTGCGGTCATCGACCTCAATGTCACTGACTCCTTTTGACTATTCCACTAAATCTGAAATTTCATCCTGTTTGCGAACTGCATTGGGGGATGGGGAAAATGTGTGAACCATCATGTGTGTCCATCGGTAGTCGCAAGATAAATAACCTGAAAAGAGAGTCATTTAGCAAAATAATTAAATTTGAAGCAGTTTTGTGGGGATAATGTTCCTCACTTTAATGCTGTCCAGCCATACAATTATATGAATTTCATCAAGCTAGTAGAGACGCGAAGGAGGTATCGCATCTTTAGCCAGGTGCTGTGGATAGCTCCATGACGAACTTTTTCGAATAGTTCAAGGCTAGTGCCGCTTTTGTTGTTAATAGCTTTCCTGCAGAAAAAAGGGACTAAAGTAGCTGCCAAAGGTAGACATCACTTTTCACCTGTTAGAGGTCGTTACAGATTCTCCTATCCGCAATACATAACCCTTCGTTAAGTTTTTACATTCTGGAATGGAAATCAAGGCAGTTATCCTTTAGGATCCGGTTTGCTATCCGCTGCTACTGATGTAGCGCCCCGAGTCTTCCCAAAGACGAAAGAAGTCCTAATAGAAGGGCAGAATGTGCTATTAATGTAGAGAAGGGCTTTTGGCTATCAGCATGGCTCAGAGGCCATGCCGCCCAACGGAAGCACAAAGGCGGAGCCTTACGTGCCTGCAAAACCAAAACAGAGTTAAACAAATGTGCAGAGTAATACAATAAAATTCTTGATAAATCAATGAAATTTCGAAACGAGGGATAGATTACCTCCATCCGTTCAAGCCACTGTGTGTGCAAGAGTGATTCGAGTTTTATTGCCCTTTATATTTCATTGGAAATTACTCCTAACACTCAGCAAACAGTGTATTTTTGCTGCTATTCACGGGAATGTACTCTTTTGAACTACCGCTATTTATATTGCAGTGCGTTTATCTGCATACTCATTGGTTTCTCCTGTCTTCTGAGACTTGTTTTATCATCCTGCGTTACCATAGTTACCCCAAGATGGTCATGTGGGATAAAAGAAATTTTTTCATTTCAATAGTGAGCATTTATTCGAACATAGTAGCTAATTTGGTTTTTTCCAAATGGTGCAGATTATTTGGCTTGCAAGTAACAAATAAAAGGCTGCGCTTGCATAATTAATCGCTATGTAATTACTATTTTTTAATTTATTTGAAGTGATTCAGTGCGCTTTTAATTCACTCGTTCAGGGCGGACATTAACAGTTGCAGGCAAATTGAGGCATTTTTACCCACTTTTTAGAAGTCTTTCTAATCATGTCACTTGGTAAACATTGTAACCATCTCAATAGTTGTTGTAACAATCAAAACAATACAGATTCTATTTGTTCACTGAAATATACGATTATGTTAACACTATTTTTAGTACCTTCCGCAGCATTCTCCTCCCACAGAACGTACCAAAAGCGATCATTTCAATTAGTATGTAGTGATTCACTGTAAAGTTCACATGTAACTTTCGTTAAATGTGGCCGTGGCGGACAGGCTGAAGGACGCGCGTGAACGCAATGAAGCGGAGTGGGCGGAGGAGGCGGAGGGCCAACGAAGGGTACAACTAGAGCTGCGAGGGCGGTTGGACACGGCACTGAGAGACCTAGACGAAAAGAGCGCACAGCTCAGCGAGGCACTCGAGGAGGTGGCGCAGCTGCGCAGTTCCCGCTACAAACGAGACACTGAGGTGGGCCAGTTGCAGGCTCAATTACGTCAACGCGATGCAGAGATGTCCGCTCTCCAGTTGGAGAAACAGCTGGTGCGTCCTCCTTCTTTACTGATTAATGCATATGCCATCAGGTGCATCTCTTGCTCATTTGCCATTATTTTTACTAATATGTGATTAAAAAACTGGTGTCCGGTTTTTCTGTTATTCTTTACATGCCATAACCACCTGCCTACCATCCATGGTGTTTTCTTCAATGGTGGGCTGTGCACATATAGAAACCAAATAAAAGTATTTTTATGCTGCCTTTCAAATATCACAATTACTTCATTGTTTCAATCCAAAATTCTACCCTTCCGGAACTTTATCAAAGAAGCTTGAAAAACCAATTTGATATGTTAGCACTTTAACTCATTTTCTGTTTCTTATACACCTGTACCTAGATGCATCATTAGTTTAAACCTTCCTGAAGTAAAGGTAGAATCAACTGGTTGCTTGCAAAATATGTTGAGCCTTTGCCTCTTATCAAAGCTAGGGCTGTCCTTACCAAGGAATTCATCCAATATACATAGAATTTAAAGCAATTGGTGTTTTTTTGCTCATTGTGAGTACCTCAAAACGAACAACTCAATGGGTATCCTCTCATGCTTTTTCGATGCGTTACCGAATATTGCTTCCATTCGCTTGTCCAATCAATATTCTTAATACTTTTCGTAGTTGTAACAAAGTAAATACCATAGCAATGCTCCTTTTTCTTTTTAATTATCACCTTTCAATTTAATTTGATTCAAATTCTTAATTTTTAGCCCGCCTTACTAGTTCTTCTGTTACTTTGGTGGTATTAGGGCAGGAAGTTGAGGCTTGGTGAGTGACAACGTTGAAGGGATTCTTTTATACTAGTTTTTTAAAATATATATTTTAGTGATATGTAATGCCTAAATACAACTGATTTTCTTATTTTAAACTTCTTTGCGGCTTCTTTATAGTTTTAACATGGATGTGTTAATCTTATCTTTGCTTACTGAAGCATTTTACATGCATATCATTTAAACCCAAAATTACTTGTGCGAAAATTGAGATAAAATTGGATGGCTATTGCAAAAGTCTATTTTTTAGCTTTCTACTACTCTACACCGCTTATTTGACACCCATAAATTTACACAGAAGTCGACTTCTACCCTATTATTTGCTCTGAATCTAAAGGCAACGGTAAAAAAAGGGATTCAACGTCAGGAAAGACAGCTCTTCTAGTTTTTTGAGATTTTTTTATAGAAAACGGGATTCCACTTTCATTACAGGCTGCGACCTCAACTTGTCTTGCATTTTTTAATTCAATTTGACTTGCTATGATTCTCTTAGTTGTTTTCGTTTAAAATCCTAGTTTATACCTTGATGCGATTCATTTATCCTCGCATATGACGTTCCTTTAAGCTTGTGCATTTGATAAATCCCATAAGTTATTTGCCACTGAATAACCACACTTTTTAATAGGTATCGGAGCCGATAACAGTTCCTTTTCGAATACTGAAAAATTTATAGGAACCTTCTATGAGATTTTTTTGGATTTAGTCCTTCATGTGACAGTGCAGCAATTTACAACAAAGTGTTAATTTAAACAAGCATTTTTGTAAAAGTTGTGGCTATTTAGCTATTTAAGAAACTTAACTCACTTTGTCATGCTTCTAAACTAGACGTGGTCGCAAAATTGCACAGTAAATGACAGCCTATCTCAAAATGCCATAAATATCTGTAAATTGCGAGACAGTGTGTTTTTTAGCGTTAAAGGACAATACCGAGTATCGGAACTGAATAGAATTTATGGTTAATTTGATTCATTTCATAATAGATGTTGTTCCATGCCGCATAATCTCTACTTCTGACTAAAACTTGGATCTCACACCTCATACTCGAATTCTGCTAAAATGACATTGTAAAAATGTCAGTACTTAATTTTTTCCAATAGGCGCCTAGTTAATAAAATTGACAGCAAAATTTTGGACTCACCAGTGACAAATGGAACGGCTGTTTCATTTTTTCGATATAGAAGAGATTTTAAAAATACAATACAATTTGCTTTAATTTCGCGCAAATGAATTTTGAATAGGTACATCTTAGAAATCCAACCTTCCAAAACCCATAACCCGGAAACAGAAAGCTAGCCATACCGGTCGCCAATGGGACGTTTATGAGGCGGAAATATGCGGGACAGTCGGTCTATAACTTTTAAATATGTATAAGCAAATTGCAGCTTTTAAGAATTAGGGGTAAAATCACCTAAAGGGTGAGTTTAGAACTATTACTGTGTAGCAACTATAGCTCCAAGGTAAATAAGATTATTTTAGTGTAAGTAGGAGTACGTTACATTCACCCTCCTGGTATACTCTGTGACTGTTTTAAAATGGAGCTATAAAGAAGGTGAATCATATAAAGTACAAGATCCATACACCTAAATATAGCTACAGTTTATAAGCTTGTTGCGTTTCGTAAGAAGTGAAGTTGATGCGTATCCTTCAGTTGGCTATATTTAGCAAAATAATTTTTGGATCTTTTGAGCACTTCTTAGCAGCTCGCAGCTATCTTAAATATAACAATTAAATGAATGGCATATACGGTGTTTTTATTCAAGCATTCTATTTCCAAATTGTTCCTACCATTCGAAAAGATGCTTTCGTGAATTAGACCAACGGAGAAAATGGATTAAGCCTACAAAAATTATTATTTTTGCATGTGGGAAGTTCTGAGACAATTTGGATAAAAATAAAGTTAAAATAATGCCCATAAATCATGATTTTAGGGAACAAATCTTTCCAATCTCATGGGAGGATCCCATGCAGTAGAATCTGGTCCGTGGTTAACACTTAAAGTGAGGTGGTCAGATTCAAACGACATTTTTCACAAATGCTCAAACTCTAACTTTATTCACTTAACCATCTAACTAAGAGTAAGATTCAACAAAATCTCAAATCGTTAGACCCACTGAAGTCGCAATGCTTGAGATCGAAATAAACTAGAAATTTTTAATCCAGCCACATAATAAGAATTTTGTAAATTTCTCAAACATTTTTTGACAAATTGATTGTGATTACACTTTTTCAAGAACACTTGATGAACAAAAAGAGATCAGCAATTATTTTCCTTTCACTCCTTCCCTGAAAAT